GTGCTGTAGTCTCACAAATACCTGTTAATCCTGCCAGTGAGGTCCACCTATTCCGCTTCCTGTGATGGTGTGACAACAATGCTGCACTGCTCCTGAATTCAGAGCAGACTTGCCACTCTTATGTATGCTGTGCCTGTGTCCACTACAGTGGGATGAAATAATGTTGCAGGACATTGTCAATCAGCGCCTGGCCACACCTAGTCCTATTTGGACAGTGGTGGGCGCCGTGGTCAGAATACAGTGTACACAACGTGAGATTCATTCATCCACACTGTTAGCATGGATGGAGGAATCTGTCATAATATGACCGAGTGTACCCAGCTTGAGATTATTATTATTATTATACAGGATGTATATAGCAGCAGCAGTTTGCGCAGCACTTTACACTATAAGGAGGACTTTGCAGTTACAATACAAATCAAGACAAGATGGTAAGGAGGGCCCTCCCCGTGAGAGCTTACTATCTAAAAGATCACAATTCTTCTCTTCTGTAGATTAACTTTTACCACATGTCCGTGTACAAATTATATATACACAACCTTTCACTGCTGTTAGTCCATAGTGAGAAAATCTTAAAAGCCACTTATACAAAAGCTAGAAGACCGCCAGAAATTACTACCAAAGATTAGTGGGGGAAAAAAGTCAGGCAAGTCTTGTAGGACAGCGAAGAGTTAAAGTGAAGCAGCGAGATCCTGCTGTTTTTGAGTGGAGATTGAATAAACTGTCTGCCGCAATGTGATACCTGCGAATGCCGCCTATTACTGTAACCAGCCTCCTTTGCAGACTAATTGCATTAATGCCTGGAGCTCTCACCCCTGTGCCGTCTGCTCTCTGTGCCGCACCTAATCTTACTGAACCCAGGACTGCCATGCAATGCTAGAAAGGAAAACTATAGTTTAACAGGAGTTTATGTAATCAGAGTGTAATGACCATCTTAAGACCCAAACACATATGCAATTCGTATAAACATACATGACATGCCTATACAGTAGCAGGCTAAAATATGAAACATGAACTGCATCTAATCAAGAAGTTGTACTTACCATCAGTCACATATCAAGGTGTCTGAAATAAAAAAGTGCTTGAACATATTTAAAAAACAAGAAGCTGTGGAGGCTCAGTTAAAGGGTATCTATGGTCAAAACTAAAAATAAATCTGAATTTCTATATTGATTAACCATAAGTTCTATCCCCCTCCTAACAACCATATCAATCTAGAAGTTTGTAAACTTACTTACCAAAGATGCCCATAGGATGCACTTCCAATGCACTGAGACAATTTTACTCCCTATGAATATGCACTTGCTTGAGCCTACCCTCTGAACTACAACTCAACATCTGAACAATGTAGCATTATCATTGCTTGCTGGAAACAATGTATGATGGGATATGTAGTCTAGAGAAATTGAGATTGCATCACATCAAGTAGCAGGGAAAGAGAGGCAAAGCACACTGGGAATGCAGGAAGTGGGTGAAAGTGACGGGCAGACGGAAGGCAGCACTCACTACATAAAAGGGATTTTTTTCAAGTAAGATTTGATTGCTTTATCAGAAACAACTCCAGTATGTATTCCTATTACACTGCTGATGTTATAACAGGAGAGGATGCTGGGACTTTACAACTCTTTTAATGTGAACTACTGATTAAAAAGTTAGGTCAATGCAGCTGCCGCACCACCTGTATAAGGAAAGGTGCAAAAACAGTTGCCAAAAATACAATAAAAAACCTTAGAACCCGGCTTCAGATCATGCCGGGGGTGGTGCAGGTCACACCACCAGGCCTTACCCCTGCAGGTGAGAAGACCTGGGGCCATAAGCCGTGCTGGACTACACTTTCTTAAAACCCTGTATTTTTGGCAAATGTTCATGTACAGGCAGTCCCCGGGTTACGGCCGTCCGACTTACGTACAATCTGTACTTACGAACGGGGTCCACAGTTCTCGTAAATGTACCGGCACAGGCTGCTCTCCGCGCCTGTGTTGGCGGAGGCAGCGTGGACACAGACCGCTGCATTCTGCCGCTGCCCCCCTTACCTCCGCTGATGTCCCGGCCTCCTCTTCCGCCAATCCGTTGGCTTCCCCGGTCCGGCCGCTCCTTCGCTGTCCCGCCCCCTGGCCTCTTCTTCATTGCAGGCTGGGAGCTATACCCAGCCTGCTATTGGCTATTGCATTTTACAATAGCCAATAGCGGGCTGGGTATGGTTTCCAGCATTAAAATAATAAAAAAGTTTAAAAATATATAAAAAAATAATAATTAAAAAGACAAAGAAATGTAAAAAAAAGTAAAAAAAATATAAATTAAAATTAAAAATTACAGTTTATAAAATATAGAAAAAAATGTTTTTGGTGTAATTTTAAATAAAACATTTTTTTTAATTATATAATAATCTTCTGAACAAGGGGAACAGACAGCAAAACAAACGCGACCCTTCCCTATGCTATCCAAAACGAAATAATGTTTTTTTGGCTGGAGTTACACGCTCAGATTTTTTTGAAATCCCATTTTAAGCAATAAAAAAAAACAACAAATCTCCCCCCCCCCCCAAAAAAAACAGCATCAATCGTGGTAAAATCACGGCAAAATGCACCGCACCGCAGGTGTGCAGACCCATGCCATTCTGGTGTGAACTAGCCCTTAGATTTGGCAGCTCCTAAAACAGGGAACCTTCCTGCCCTAAGACAAAAGGGTTTCCCACACTGAAAAAGCCAGAATGCTGAATGTTCATCTTCAGAGATCAAAAGTGGTTATTAATAACTCAAGACAGGAAAACAAAAAAGCATCCAATGCATTTCAGAGGCCGAAAATCTACCTTAATCAGGGTGTGGACAAGTAGCACACGTTATTTACTGGACTCAAGGAATAAGCTTCTGGATATAAAACTGACCAGAGAAAGAGTTAGTATGGTGATTGTGCCTGCATCTGCGGCTAAGTGATGTGGACACATTGTTTGGGGCTTGTTTTGGCTTACTTAGGAGAAAAAATGATAAATCTGGCAGGGCAGGACGGGACAAATATCAGGAGCCAGGTCGCCAATGCTCCTTAAAGATTACACCCAACTTCTGAGGTCCGATAAAGAAAAGCATTTTATTTCTGTCTGTGTTCTTAATGTATGGTTCCCCTTTCTCTCCGGTGAAACATTGTCAGCAGGGCTCTAAGTGAAGGTAAATCTCTCTAACGGAGCTCCGATTCCAACTCTTTCCCACTCTATCCAAAACTAAGAAAAAAAGTTTTGTCAGGGCATGCACTTTAAGTCTGAAGACTCCTCTGACTGTCTCAGCTTCTAAATCATAAAAAGGAAGTTCTGGGCTCTCTTAGACACCCCAGCATGCTCTGCAAAGCAAATACCATGGATGGCCAGTTGACGGGCCTCTCAGAAACCCAGCATTACATTATAAAAGGAAAGGGAGAGAGTCACAGACTTCCTGATACCAGAAAGTACGTTATTTTACTTCACTCCAGCAGGCAGATGGAGCAGTGGGGGTGAATGGAAGATAAGCATACGCACCACAGGAGAACAATTCAATCTTTCTGTTCCCGTGTCCTGGATGGGTAAAACATCTCTTTGAAGCCTAACTAAAACTAAGAATGTTTTTTCTAGTTTTGGATAGGGTTAGAAAGGGTTACATTTATTTGGAGCTTCTCACAATATGCATTATAGCTTGCAGCAAGTCAGATAACGACCCACCTCATGTATTGTCTGTAGGATGTCCAACATCACCTAGTAAATGGTCAAAGAAAAAACACTATGACAATATACTCAGAATATGTGAATTCGGATGACTGCTGAACGGTACCTGATGACCGGAAATAAACTGATGACAATCAAAGTCTTCCTTCAGGTGTGTGAATACTTTTTACTGTCATGACAAAATGCAAAAAAGAGGCCAATTTTAAAATGGCCTGTGACATCTCTGAACCAATAATCCAAAAAGACCATTCAAGTGAAAGGTAAAAGGTTTTTAGGCTATTTTCAATGCTGATGAAATCACTGACAATGAATTCTGCTTCTTGATGTTTAAAAGTTTTAGAATCAGCAGGTCTCCAGAGAACTGGTCCGGATATCCTTTTAGGGTGGCTCCTTTCCCTTGCAGGGTCCAATGGAGCCACCTTTGTGTGTGCTAGTAAGCTGTGTGTGTCACCGCAAACACTCAAAATCGATAATACGAAATCACCTGCACTCCATACAGTGTACAGACCTTGTTGAAAGGTTGGTGCTTGAAGTGACAACACGGATGGCGCCATGTCAGATACAGTCCATAATGGAAGTCACCAGTACTTGAAGATATGTGCAAGTAGTGAAGCACTTTTAATTAAATTGTCACATGCGCATACAGCCAACGTTTCGGGGCCACGGCGGGTCCAATCTTCTGGGCAACATAGTGACCACCATAGGGAGTCCCTAAGCATCACTATGTCGCCCAGAAGAAGGGACCCTGCGTGGCCCCGAAATGTTGGCTGTATGACGCATGTGACAATATAATAAAAAAAGTGCTTTACTTCTTGCACATATCATCGAGTGCTGGTGACTTCTATTATGGACCACAAACACTCAGACACAGCAAAGCAATCCAATCCTCTGCTCCATATATCTCCCTTCTCCAATCTACTACACATGGACAGCTGCTAGAGACTGCTCAGTTCCATGTCATCTTGTTCTGCAAAGGAATTTCAGAGAAGCAGAGCTGAGAGAGTTGGAGCTGTCTGAAACATTGCAAAATTGTAATGAAATACTTTGCTGAACAATGTAGATTTGTTTGATCTGGGTTCATTATTGAAAAAAGTTTGAGAGTTTACTACTATTTCAGTTCTATCAGAACGCAGCTGCTGAGAGAATAAAACGCAGCAGCTCTCCTTACAATGCCTATTGTAAGCTCCTAAAAGCTGGGCTCTGATTGGTGTTTATGGCATATTGCACGTTACTGCTGTTTACTACTGCTCGTATAAACCGCCAAGTAAAACATAAAGCCCAGTTCAGCACGAAAGACAATTTGCATCCTGGCACCCCAAATCTTACTCTAAATATATCACCTTTTCCTACAGACAGTCTCCGGTGAGTTTTTAGATGGTAGAGGAATAGGCTTAGTATACACAGAAGTAGATGTGTATGCACCACTCCCTGTGCACAGATTCCAAAGTCACATGGTTTGTGGTTACAGAGGAAAACTATTTATTGCCTCAGCAATGGAAATAAGCTTCTGTTGGGGAAACTCAAACCAACCACAAAGCTGCTCAGCTATTTGGGGTGCAATGACTAGACCTGGATCAAATGGGAGGAAGGATTGAAATCTCTGGGCACCCTATACCAGAACTGTGGTCATGAGCTTTCAATTGTTAGGACTCGATTTCAGCGCACAGGAATTGACTTGGGAGTAACAATATGTTTATGATACTTACCAGATGGACTCAAAAGCCAAGAGCAACACGATTGAGGGGAGCTAAAGGAAGTTGTCTGTACGATTTCATTATATTCAATATTTCATTTTCTTTTCTTCATATGGTCACCCCCATGAGCAGACTGGTCGAGTGAATGCAGGAAAATGAACAAGTTCCTTCTCACTTGTTCCAAATCCCAAGGCTCGTTCTACTGATGCCATTATCCCACAACTATCTTTGCCTGTAGAACCCACAGAAGTATAGAAATGTAAAAACGGAAGCATTGGAAATACCTGCAGCATTGACAGAACATAGAAGTCCATAGTGAAAAACTTTGAACTAAAGCCTGGCCATACACTAGTAGATTTCTGAACGAACTTTCGTACAAAAGATCATTCTTTCGACTTTCTATCAGTTGATGGGGTCAAATCGATGATCGATTTTGACTGTAGTGAGAAAAAACTTGGAAGGAGCAGGATGGAAAACTTCTCTCGAATGAACGAAATTCTAACAGCGAATGTGGTTTTCGTTCGGGGGAAACTCCATTCATTTGTGTTTGATGGCACAAACACAAATGAATGGAAATCTTTCGTTCTGAAATCTACTTGTGCATACCCAGCTTAAAGGAGGAAAGTTGGTGGAGGAAAAAAAAATCTGCAGGGTCAAGGCTAAGAGACTCTGAATACCAAGTTCTCTTCACAGCGACCCAACAAAGAAAGTGCTTGTGTATACAGAGCTATTTCGCTAGCATATCTAGTCCCAGTTATTGGGATCATAACTCAAACAGGTCTTTCCTTGCTCATGTGAATAAAGCTTAAAAGTAGACATGTGGCCAGGCTATGAACATGTTAACATTTACATATTACCTTTTAAACAAGTCCTCGCTGACCTCTGTAGCTGCAGCCACTGGGGAGTAATTCATCCTCAGTTTGTAGTGGAGACTTTCAAGTTTCACTTTCTCTTGGTACCTCAGCTTCCCCTTGCAAGCAGTGAGTTGGCAGCCTGATATCGTCTAATCTTGTATGTTAGCGCAGTTAAGCTTATTCATTCAATGCTTGTTAAAATTATGTAAATATTTAAAGGAATTGTAAAGTCCCAGCATATCCTCTCCTGTTGTAACATCAGCATTGTAATAGGAATACATTCTAGAGCAATCAAAGCTCACTGAAAAAAAAATCCCTTTTATGTAGTGAGTGCTGCCTTCCATCTGCCCATCACTTTCATAACTTCCTGGATTCCCAGTGTGCTTTGCATCGCTTTACTTTAGGCTTGATGTGATCTCCATTTCTAAAGACTACCTATCCCATCATACATTGCTTGCAGCAAGCAATGATAATGTTACATTGTTCAGACACTGAGTTATAGTTCAGAAGGCAGGCTCCGTGAGAATTGAATATTCACAGGGCTGAGTGACATTGTGTCAGTGCATTGAGGAAGTACATCCTATGGGAATCTTCAATAAATAAGTTTACAGACCTCCAGATGGATCTGGCTATTAGGAGTGGGATAGAACTTATGGAAATTCAATATAGAAATACAGATTTATTTTTAGTTTTTGACCAAAGATATCCTTTAAACATCCACAGTCTGGTGGTCATGGTCACAGTTCTACTTTAATATTGCAATGCAAAGGTCAACTTTTCAAAGTAGTATACAACTTTCAAACTTTTTTTCAACAATTAATCCAGATCAAACAACTCTCTCAGCTTCCCTGAACCTCCTTGTCCAGTACAAGATCACAAGGGACAGCAGTCTCCAGCAGCTATCCATCTACTAGCTTAGAGAAGGAAGGAGGAGTGGGAAGTGGGGAGCAGGTTGCTCACTAGCACACACAAAAGGTGGCTCCATAGAACCCTGCAAGGAAACCAGCTGTGCTCAGGGAACCCCTCACTAGCACACACAAAGGTGGCTCCATAGAACCCTGCAAAGGAACCAGCTGTGCTCAGGGAACCAGCTGATTCTGCAGAAAGCTAAAACCTTCAAACCTCAAGGAGCAGCATCCAATGTAACTAATTCAATCAGCATTTGAAAAAGCTAAAAGCATTTTGACTTTAAAAAGAGAACTATGGGGTAAGTGTTTTTCCCCATAGTTCTCAAATGCAGGGCGATGTTTGAGAAGTAAGCGAGCGACGGTATGTGTTTGCTCACTTCCCGATCTATTGAGCCGACGTGTGACAGTTTCCTTTGATTTTAACTCACCTCATAGTTCCACTTTAATATCACTTTACGTTCTTTTTAAGGAAAAACAAAAAAAAATACACTCATTTTAAGTATCTAGAAGTGTGAAAAGTTCATTGTTCTTTAGGAAACGATTTGACCAGATTTTTGACACATGCAACTGACAAAATATGACACCATACACCAATGACAATGTAACTGAAATGTGCTCGTATCGTCAGACTGAAGTTATTCTTTGCAGAAAGGAACGCTTTTCTTATTTCTAGCTCTGGAATAAAACCAATACAATCTGTACATTTACATCCAAACAGTACACATTTAACCCTTTACAAAAGGTTGATGATCATTAAATGAAAATCCAATGTTTTCATTTACAAAAACAGGCAATCACGGCTGCCTCTCTTCTGCATTTAGATTTGAAAATTTGCCTAGAAATGCAGCTGCAAGAGGCTATAAAAGGGAACCCATCTAGACTACTGCTCCTCGCCCCCTCTGCACTGCCAGGGTTCCGTAGTGAGAAGAACATCTGCATATACAGAAATCCACATGTACAGATGGTTATCATTAATTGAAAACGGGGTTCTTATACTGCAACCTGATACAACAGGATGAGGGAGGGGGGGGTTAACAAGCCTGCAATTATACTGAATTTAAACATTGAAAAGTACAACCCTCTGACTTGTTATCCTAAATCCTCAAGAGACGTAGAAATATATTCTGCTGATCTGCACTTGCTGGTGAGAGTGGATGTAACCAGAGCCAGCTAATGTAAGCAGTGTTATGAGGGAGAAGGGTATGAGCCCATTATCAACACTTCTGAAGAGCCACGAATCCCCAGTCCACCATGACATCAGCAAGACTGTTATAACATACAGTAATACGTATCAGGTCTCTGGTCATGTAAGCTTTAAGTGACCCTGTCAGGGGGTTAGAAAAATTTTAAAAAGTCCAAAGGGTTCACCATGCGAAGAAAACAGCTTCATAATCATCTCTACATCAGACAGTTTGCAAAAACTTCACCCCACTTACTGCCGTGGTTCTTCCTGCTGACCCATAGACACTGCTGTTCAGACTAGTGTAGGGATACATTACTCCAAACCAGTTGAAGCCACTCCATGGACCGCCACTATCCTCTGTGGGCCCTTCCTCTCATACAATGCAATCGTTTGTGGAGAAATCACACAACACTTTCTTGAAGTTCAAATCAACTTTTGCAAGAACCAAAAAACTGTTAGACACTCCACCCAGCAACCTACCATGCTTTGCAACCCCTAAAGGAGCAATAGGACTCAATGATTAAGCTCAAGCTCATTACGCTCAAGCATTGGGTGGAGAAACATGTTAGATAGAGGCTGCTGGGTGCAGTGTCTCACAGTTTTGGTGTTTGGAAAATAAAATTGATTTTTAACTCTAAGGAGGTGATGTGCGGCTTCGTCACAAACTTCTGCAGTGACATCATAGGGGTAGTCGGGAGGAACCACCACAGTTAGTGGTGCCAGGAGCTTGGCTACAAAGCAAAGTTTCTGCAAACCATCCAGGTGCAGTAGTTGTGAAATTCCTTTAGAAGTTTTACTGATTAATACTATAGGATTTAAGATTAGGAATTTAACCCGTACCAATTTCACTTTATAGTCCCTAGGAAGTCTTTGGTCTGCAGACATGTTGTGTCAGGCACAGTACTGATTGTACGGTCACCGTACAACATGGATTGTATCTGGAAACATGTTTTACGTTATATCAGTACAATACAGAGGGTGTCTCAAAAGGTGTTTTAGGTTGTGTGAGTAAGGTACTAATAGCATCTGCAGACATGTTTTTGGCTGCGTCAGTACAGTACGGCTTGTGTCTGTGGACATGTACTATATCTAAGTGTGATTAGGATAATTTCATTTTGATTCATGTAATTATGATCATTATCTTCCTATGGTGAGAATATTGTAAATCTTCGTAATATTAGTTTTGGTGCTGTGTGTTTGGGGAAGGAGGAGGGGCAAAAGGTAGCCAACGCCAGATATAACGCCAGACCAACCTGCTGACCTTTTACGAAGAGGTAAGTAGAGATCTGGATGGGGGGAGGCCAATGGACGTAGTATATCTGGACTTTGCCAAAGCATTTGATACGGTGCCACATAAACGCTTGTTATACAAGCTAAGGGCTATGGGCATAGATGAATTAGTGTGCACGTGGATAGAAAACTGGCTACAAGAACGTGCACAAAGAGTATCAGTTAATGGCACCTTCTCAGACTGGGTGGAGGTCATGAGTGGCGTACCCCAGGGTTCAGTGCTGGGTCCCATGCTTTTTAACCTATTTATTAATGATATAGGGGAGGAAGTGAGAAGTCATATCTCAGTGTTTGCTGATGATACGAAAATTGGGAGGGTAGTAGACACAAACTTAGAGATTATAACATTACAGGAGGACCTGGAGAAAATCGGGGAGTGGGCAACTGTATGACAGATGAAGTTCAATGTCGATAAATGTACGATAATGCACCTTGGAGTTAAAAATAGGCAAGTGGACTATACACTTATGAGTGTGCCACCAGGGAAGTCGGAAACGGAGAAGGATTGGGGGGTCATTATAGACCGCAGACTGAAGAATAGCTTGCAGTGCCAGACTGCTGTAAACAAAGCTAAAGGGGAGAAAAATGGTGCATATAACAGGTTTAGCCAGTCTAGTCATTGAAGCAGTGGCGTAACAATAGCCATAGCGACCCAGGCGGCCGCTATGGGGCCCGGGCCCAGGGGGGCCCGGCCAGGACACCCCCCTGATGATTGAAGTGACACTAAGCTCAGGAGTTAAATCTTAAAAATACATTCAAGTACCCCAACTATTAACAAAAATGTATCTTATCTGTGTATCAGTCAGCTGTAGATCCTCAGGGCCCATTCACACCAGTCCCAGTGCTGGATCACATTGCGGCCGGCTGACTTTGTTGTGGGGTTGGAGGGCGCGTGGCAGTCCATTGAAGTGAATGGAAACATAGCCACGCCCTCCGTTCGCAATGCGATTGGCCGCACGGGAACGCGTGGCACATCAATGCCTGTGTTCCGGTCCGGTCAGAAAAATATGCAGCATTTTTTCTGACCGGACCACAGGCATTGATGTGCCTTGCGTTCCCATGCGGCCAATCGCATCCCGCCCCACAACAAAGTGAGGCAGCCGCAATGCGATCCAGTGCATTCCGGCCGGAACACACTGTGTCTGGTGTAAATGGGCCCTCAAATCATCTCTGAATTAGGGCTGCAACTTACAATTATTTTCATAATTGATTAGTTGGCCGATTATTGGATAAGAAGAAAAAATTTAATAAATTAAAATATGTAAAATGAAATCAAGAAATGCAGTGTTACAAACATTAGGGGTCAATGTGGGGTCCTGTGATGGACCACGATCTAAATACAAATGAGTAAAATAAATGTGAGATATGTAGTCCATCACAGGAGTGAGCTTGGAGTGGTGACTACTTTACAACACACACAGGGACCATGGGGAACAAAAGTAGCCACCCTCTAGAAGGAAGGACAGTGTCAGCACCAATTCAGAGATGATTTGAGGATCTACAGCCGAGTGATACACAAATAAGATACATTTTTGGTAAAAGGTTACCCAAGTTAGGGTACTGAGTTTAGTGACACTTTAAAATGCACTGCAACAGAGTTAAAGGAAAAGTAAAATAGTTTTCAGTCATTTTTTATGCTACAAAGTTTATAAACTATTCTGGTATAGAATTCATTTTTAATTGTATAATATGTTTAGTATTCAAATAAACACATAATACAGAAAGCTGCCATGACATTTGCAGAGTTATTCACAAAAGGGTGAAGGGTTTGAAGACAGGAGAAGTGAACAATCTAGGACAACATAGGTGATTTGGAGAAAGTCTCCAATTCCGCTCACTTTCCTAGATTGTTCACTTCTCCTGCCTTCTCCAAACTCTGAATAGACCTGCAGTTTGCTGAGTTTTCCCAAGTCTGTGTCACTCTTCTCCCCTTGGGTGGTTGGTTCCTGTTTCTCTGAGCCATTTTGATTGTCGTCAGTGGAAGCACACCATCCCTGGCTTTCCGACTCCTACATTGGTCTGACTGGCTCATGAATTTTACATTAATTTGTCTACTTCTGACTATGGGTGGGGGGAGGAAGGGGTGTGCTGGTGTCTCAGGAGTATTAAGTACTGGAAAACAAGATTTCCATAATACACATTTACAGTCTGTTTAGGGAAAGCCTAGACATAAAGGAGCCTCTTTAAAGCATTAAAGCTCAGGAGAATACAACAGAATATGTCATCCCATTAATAGCGCTAATTAAAGCGTATCTAAACCCAAAAACAAAAATTCATTATATTGCAGCTTACCAATGCTGAAAAGTGGTGGCTGCATTACTTTTCTCTTTTAGGCTTTTTTCCCCCCTATATTTTCACCTGGTGATCCAGCCAGTAGCACACTTCCTGTCTTAGGGTGACTCCACTCTATGGAGGAGCAATGGAGCCACTCTTGGACAGCAGCGTTGTCACCCTATGGGGAGGGGGGTGTTACATGGAGTAGCAGATTTAGATGGACGTGATTAACAAATTAAATCTAAACTCCAGCTAATACTTTTTAAGCAGTTACAGCAAAAGTTTACTCTTGCTAAGCTCCAATATACAGGTGAAACTCGAATAATTAGAATATCGTGCAAAGTTCATTTATTTCACTAATGCAACTTAAAAGGTGAAACTAATATATGAGATAGACTCATTACATGCAAAGCAAGATAATTCAAGCCGTGATTTGTCATAATTGTGATGATTATGGCTTACAGCTCATGAAAACCCCAAGAACCCCAAATCCACAACCTCAAAAAAGTAGATTATTACATGCAATCAATAAAACAAGGATTGTACATAGAACAATATCGGACCTCTGAAAAGTACAAGCATGCATATGTACTCGGTACTTGGTTTGGGCCCCGTTTGCAGCACTCACTGCAATTACTTTTGCATGATATTCTAATTATTCGAGTTTCACCTGCATTACATTTTTGCTTTTGGCTTTAGATATGCTTTAAATTATATTTTTTATCTCCAAGTAGAAGTTACTCTGAAATAAATCTGAGTCCTTATTATTTGTATACAGGATATCATTAGAGAAAGGCTTACACCTGTGTCTATCAACACTGCCGCTCGCTACTACACACCGCTAGCTGCACACACCTGGTGTATGTAAACAAACAATGGAATGTACTATGAATGAGCTAATGACACATATTTTGAAATACAATATCCGATTCGCTTGTCAATGAGCAAAAAGTAAACAGAAAATGATACAATCAGTGCCAAAGGTACGACCTGACAGCGTCATCGTAGAATGGGACTGCCAACTTCCAGCTGTAAGCACAGGGACGGCAGGCTGAGGAGCTCATTCTGAAATGTTGCTTCCATAAAATTTATTACGAGATCAGTTATCAGTATTCTAACTATACTAGCCACATAAAGCGGATATAAAGTTACTGAAGGTGCCTACACAGGCTGGTTTTGCAGAGCTCTTCAAACCTGTGGGAATTATTCTGCAAATCATTGACCAGTCCTGTCAGTTTAACAAGCCATGGGCAGAACACACTGAAATCTTGTTTTACATCACGGGCGGACGCTTTTTATTGGGGTGACCGTCATGAGGTGGAGATGAATCCGCTAAGAAATGCAAAGAGCTGCTTGCTGCACCAAAACACTGTTCTTAAAGGAGAAGTAAAGCCAAAAAAATGTATTGCTTTACTTCTCTTTTGAATTGCATTTACTTGTGTATTCCTGTGACCAAAAGTCCCTATATAGTGGTCTACTGCATGCGGACAGGACAGGGCCATTTGCAGCCGGTGTTCTATCAAAGTTTGTGACTGCGTTAGAATGTGTGACCGGTGACGTGGTCACACATTTTACCATAATCCCCCCCAGTTGTTCGGCAGTGGAATGTGTAACCACCAATAGGTCAAGCATTCCAACGCTTTCTCAGCTGTTCCAGGGCAGATTGGCATCGCAGATGGTGTGTGCTGGTGTCAGTAATTGGATATGCAGAGCCCAATAGCAGGGGTACACATCTTGGGATTGCGTACTCAGCAGAATCAGGCACAGATTCCAAAAACATGGTACAAAAGAGTAAAGCCAATAATCATAATCAAACAAAGCATAAGGTCACGGCAGGCAGCAAAGGATCAAACTTGATAAACAAAGGTCAGGTAACAGAATCACACGCCTAGTAACTGGCCCACACTGTGGATAGCTCTGAAACAACTGAGCACTCTCTCTGGAACTTTGCAGCTTTATAGTGATCAAACAGGAAGTGATGTCAGGAGGTGTGGCAGAAGGGATGCAATTTCTGTCTATAACAGGAAGCACTCCAGTGCTGCCATTTTGATGTAAGGATGCCATCAAACATGTGCAAGAGGCTTCACTATTTTCATGCGGGAAAGTGATAGGACACAAGTCACTGACAAGAGTGCCAAGTACCGACATGCTGCGAGTGCGCGGACCCCCGCGATTGATACAGGTCAGTTGAGAATTGTGACAGCAGGAGAACTGATCGGTCCTGAAATATCACTTCTATCGGACTTTGAGAGTGCGATCTCACATTCCACAAAGTCAAATAGAAGTGACATTTCAGGACCGATCAGCTGTTCCAGGGCAGATCGGTTCTCCTGCACATACCATCTGTGTTGCCGATCTGCCCGGGAACAGCTGAGAAAACGTTGGAATTCTTCACCTTTTGGCAGTCACACATTCCAACGTCGAAAAACTGGGCGGGATTACGTTAAAATGTATGATCACGCGACCGGTCACACATTCCACCTAGGGTTGCACAGATACCAAGTACAGTACTCGGTACGAGTACATGTACCGATACTTTTGAGCTCCAAGACTAGACTAGAGAAAAATTCAAAAATTAGGAGGCAGCTGTCATTTGTAAGGAGCACACGGAGCTCCTGGGATTTGTACATCTCTGTTTTAATGTACAATTTTGTTTTTATAAATAAAGGGATGCACAGATACCAGTTTTGCGAGTACGAGTACTGGTACTTGCTGAGTACTTACAAGTACTGATACATTTTTGTTTATTGTCATGTGACAGTTTTTCTAAAACAATACAGACTAATGATTTCAGGACAGTGGTGGAGCGCCAGAGCCAGGTCCCAGCTGCAACCTCTGCAACCCTGGTAGTTCTCATGAAAATGCCAAGTATCGGGACTGGTACTCGAAAAGTATCTGTGCATCCCTAATTCCACCCTAGTCACAAACTATGATAGAACACCGGGAAGGATCCCGACAATATTGTCACGATCCACCCAGCTGTTGGGTTGACAGCTGGCTCCGCCTCTTTAGATCCAGAGCCAGCTGTGCCCGCCCCCTTACCTAGCTGTGCTAGAAGAACAGAGAGAGGGGAGGAGGGAATCCCTGTAGGGAGCGGTCAATGGCAGTCACCACTGTGTGCAAGGAGAAGCTGTGAGTTGATTGTTCAGCTCTCGGTATATAGAGCCGGTGTGCGACAGCTCCAGGGTCATATGCCGGATCTAAGTTTTGGGAAGAGTATATTTTGCTCTTCCAAAAGTTCTCCTTTAACCTCACTTAATACAAAGTTATACAAGCTATAAAGTACTAACAAAAGTTTATCCAAAAAATGTCTCACCTACTTACAACTTGGCAGAATCTGCCATATACCAGCTATTTCAGCACAAGCTGGTTGAGAGAAAAACAAAAAAAAGACCCATGATTCCCCCATCTATGCTAAATGGTGTGGATGGGGGAATGTCCCAAGCTGGCTATTGCATTCTGACAGTCACCACCCACGGCTGTCATAAATCCCCAACAGTGACTGCATCTGACTGGCTGCAGTCACTGTTTCCCCAAGTCCACCTAACACGTTCGACAAAAGGCATTTAGAAAAAAAGCATTGACTTGTTGATCCAGGTGGTGCTGGCAGGACCACTCATGGATTGAGTTTCAGTTGATTTGATACAAATATAGCCAGCCTAACTCAAAACATTTAAAAATAAAATAATTAATTGAAAATGAAAAGAATGAAAAATTCTAATAAGAGCGCAAATTCAAATTACTTTCTATGAAATAGGAAAGCACCTAACTTGACCTGACATCCTTTAAAGCCATGTCCTCATGTGTCCACCTCTTCCGCAGCATCAGACAGGAAACAACCTATAGTTTAATGTGAAACTAAAAGGGAAACAACTGAATACAACTGAAATACACGTTTAATATTTTACTGGTGAACGGAATAAGAAGTGTGTGCAGCCGCTCTCATCTTTTGATTTACACACACATCTGGCTCACTGCACAGCCAGGCAGGTCACACACTTATTTTCCAATTCAGTAATCCAGCTTCCCAGGTCACCTCTACACCTCCAGCCTGCTAACTAGTATATGAATCCTCATCATCACCTCTGTCCAACTCACAGGGAGGCCATTCCAGAAGTAAGAAGGCTGAACCAGAAGTAGTAGAGCATTCAGCCTGGCTGCGGATAGTGGCAGAAATGTGTACATATCAAGACTGGATGCACAGAATTAAAAATCCTTCAGCAGGCAAAACAGTATTTCAGCCTTGTATTGAAATATTGGCCTGGGGTTCCACTGAAATGTGAAAAGCAGTGAGCTAGATCCTAGAAGATAAGCGCAGCACCCCTAGGGCCTTGGATCTCAACTGGTGGGTCATGACCCAAAAGTGGGTCGCGATTCTGTTTTCAGTGGGTCGCCGCGTGCCTTCAACTTTTCTAGGTGAGAGGCTCCTCAGCCTTCCCCTAGCGCATCAATATCAGTTCTCGAGCTGAGCAGCCATTCAGAATATGCTGCCTGGCGCTGAGTGTCAGCTTGAGGTGGGGTGGGGTGGGATGGAGCTATGGCTGCGAGGGAGCTCCATCCATACATGCATTGCTTACAGCTCCCTCATATGCCCTGTCGAGATGCCTTGACCGGAGTGATATCACATTCTGGCTCCTAGCACCTCTACATGGCACGCAAGGGAGCTGTACAAGCAATGCATGTATGGATGGCGTCCTGTCACAGCACAGAATCCTAGCACTGGACCCCAGGCGGAGGATCCACTCCAGTTCTCAAAAGGTAGGAAGACTGGGTGGATCTTTAAAAAAAACCAAAACATTTTTGGGAGTGTGTGAGATTGTACCCCAAACACACCTCCCGCCCACAGTTCAATCACCCGCACCAGAATGCAGGGTACCGCAATGCCATGCATTCCACTGCAGTGTGACTTGGGTCGCCACTTAATAACCAAGGACAAATGTGGGTCCTGAGGTTACACAGGTTGAGAACCGCTGCTCAAGGCTTATACACATGTTTAGTGGATTTTCAGAGCACCCCAGTGCCCCAAAAACATAGAAGCACTCTTTTGTGCAAACTGCAACAAGCCTCCCATGGTCGCTCTGTGGTTTGTCTCTTCCCACTCTCCTTACCTCTTTACCAGACATGGAGGCTGCTCATGAAACCTTGTGGCCAACTGGATGTTCCTACATTATCACTGTAAATGACACCATAAGTGTTCAGCTTTCTGGTTTAGACCTTCTCAGCCGCCTAGGTGGAGAAGTGGCCTCACAAAAAAGGAACAAAAAAGGGTTTTGTATTCAGCAACATGCTTGTGGTTCTGCAATGATACTATATATACACATTTATGATATTACAGGTGAAACTCGAATAATTAGAATATCGTGCAAAAGTAATTGCAGTAATTGCTGCAAAAGGGGCCCAAACCAAGTACTGAGTACATATGCATGCTTGTACTTTTCAGAGGTCCGATATTGTTCTATGTACAATCCTTGTTTTATTGATTGCACGTAATAATCTACTTTTTTGAGGTTGTGGATTTGGGGTTCTTGGGGTTTTCATGAGCTGTAAGCCATAATCATCACAATTATGACAAATCACAGCTTGAATTATCTTGCTTTGCGTGTAATGAGTCTATCTCATATATTAGTTTCACCTTTTAAGTTGCATTAGTGAAATAAATGAACTTTGCACGATATTCTAATTATTCGAGTTTCACCTGTATATGGCAGAGGAAAACGTCAACCCCCCGCTGCTGTGGAACTACAAATCTCATGGAGACATTGCAAGACTGACTCCCAGAGGCAGATGCATGATGGGATTTGTAGTTTCACCACAGCTGGAGGGTACCCTTGCCATATGGTCTAACAGAGTTCTTTAAAGTGAATCTGGCAGACAGCTAAGATAGCAAAGCTGACATAAGAAGTTACGTTTGTTTCCATTTCCAGGGAACTGCAACATTCAGCTACAAAATCAGAGCTCTGGAACACCCCCATCCCATAATGCAATGCTTCCTGTCCCCCACCCCCCCAACCCTCAATGCAATGTCCACACGTTACCCGATCTATAAACACGTACATACTTTCCAAGGAAGCCTGCCAGAGCTGCTTCTTGTGACCGCAAAGTCTCAACTTGTATACTGGGTAACCTTCAGTTGAGGGTGTCCAGGAAGACAAAGCAAATAGAGACCAGAAAGCAGATGACGGCCTCTAAAGAACAACCAACAAGTGAAAGCAAGCAGGCAATCCTAATGACATCCAGCAAACAATGAAGTTGTGCTAAAGTCAGAGCAACCACTCAAATTTCCTAATCTCAGCTCTCTGTCAGCCTCTAGAGCCAGAATGACTGCTTGTACCCGTTCTCCTTCCTGACAGCTGTCACAGGAGGCTGAGCCGGTGGTGCGGGGAGGAGAGCTCAGTCTATTTTGACAGCAGACTCCCCCCCCCTCCCCGCCAGCTCAGCCTCCTGTGACAGCACACAGCTGTCTCCACCCCAACACCTCTCTCCATCCTGATTGGTCAGAGGAGGCTGAGGGCGGTGCAGGAGGAGAGCCCGGCCTCCTGTGACATGCCGGGTGCCCACATCGCTCTCCACACCCGCACCGCTCGGCCTCCTCTGACAATTTCTCTTCTCCCTGCTGGAAGCTGTGCTGTGTCAAAGGAGACAGAGAGCAGGGGCATGCACCAGCAATTTCGACCGAAAGATGGTACTTTCCGCATTTTGCCAAATGTGCCATTTTCGGCCAATGGGTTTCAGCGGCCGATGTGTTTCTGCGGCCGATATTTCCCTGGTATAAATGTCTCTCCGTAACATTCTTTCTCCTTTTGTGTCACTAATCAGATTCTTATTAATTGGTGTATCTGTAAAGAATAAGCCAAGGCAACTGGACTTGCTGTATTTTTCCTGAAGAGGTTTCACTGGTCATCCAACCAGCTTTTTCAATTCAGAATTGAGAAAGCTGGTTGGATGACCAGTGAAACCTTTTCAGAAAAAATACAGCAAGTCTAGTTGCCTTGGCTTATTCTTTACAGATATACCATGACCTGGATGAATGAGAACCTTTCACAGACTTATTAATTGGCGATTATAAGAGACGTCCTAACCCTCACACTTTGTGATATCATACAGTTGGTATGGGATGGACAGTATTGATGGTGCAGTGAGCGAACACTTTCCGATCATCTCCCTGCATAGAAAGGTGACTGTCAGTCATCGCTCCCCGCAGGGATATCCCCCTCCCCTCTCCGATCCTCCAGCGCTGATTGGAGGAACAGACAGGGGAGGGGGCATGCACAGCTGGCTCTGCCTCTAGATAGGCAGAGCCTGCTGTCATCAGCCAGCTGGGTGGATCCAGACAGTATTGTCGGGATCCGTCACGGCTGTGGCTCTCTCAGCATATACATCGCTATATACTGAGCTTTGGGTCACCAGAGGACACAGTATATGTCCGGCCATGACCCTAAAGAGAACTATGGGATAAAAAGGTTACCCCATAGTTCTCTTTTAATTATTAACAAAAATGTATCTTATACGTGTATCACTCCCCTGTAGATCATCAAATCATCTCTGAATTGGTGCTGACACTGTCCTTCCTTCTGGAGGGTGACTACTCTTGTTCCCCCAGGATCACTGTGTGTATTGTAAAGTAGCCATCGCTCCAAGCTCACTCTCGTGATGGGATTACAATCTCAATAGAAATTAGTAAACTAAACATGAGATTGTAGTCCATCACGGGAGTGAGCTTGAAGCGGTGACTACTTTACAACACACACAGGGACCATGGGGAACAAAAGTAGCCACCCTCCAGAACGAAGGACAGTGTCAGCACCAATTCAGAGATGATTTGAGGATCTACAGCCGAGTGATACACAAATAAGATGCATTTTTGTTAATAGTTAAGGTACTTGAATGCAGTTTTAAGATTTAACTCCTGAGTTTTGTGTCACTTTAAAGTAGAATTAAAGGAGAAGTGCTTTTCACTCACCTAGCAATGAAACTGTCACAGGCCGGCTCAGTAGATCGGGAGGTGAGGGAACACATACCGGCGTTCGCTCACCTCTCGATCCTGTCACTGCTCTCTGCCGTGACAGGGGAGTGGCTGGATTCCCCCCTCCAGGAACTATGGGGAAAAGCCCTAACCCCATAGTTCTCCTTTAAAGTCTCACTTTTCTTGAATATATCTATTGTTAGTAAACAGTAGATATATGCCACAACATTAAAAAAAAAAGTTGCCAAACGGGTAAATACTTACCCCTGTCTGCGCCATTCGCTCCTGGCTGCAGTACACAGATCCTAACTGCTGTGCAGGAGGATGATGTGGGCAGGCGCATGCGCAATCCATGTCTCCAGTGGGGAGAGGAGGAGAGACACTGCCAGTGAACACACGCAACTGGGAGCGTGCATGCTGGGCAGACTCCATGGGACACAGAAGTCTGTGCTGGATCAGAGGAAGGAAGAAGATGATCGCAGCAAGAGACATCACATAAGGTAAGTATTAAAAGCAGAATTACAATGGCGGAGGGAAAAAAATGTGACTTTAATGTCACTTTAAACTCGGTGCACGGCCGGGGTGATGACATAAATACAGGTTTCCTTTGGTAAATCAATCCCTTTAGTTATTGACAGAAAATATTTCAACACCAAGTATTTGTAAATATACTCTCATACGCTGCATGTGTTACTGATATATTATTACCTTACTTGTTCATGGGTGTTAGTCCATTTGACGACATAACTTAGTACGGAGGGCTAAGTTTACAAACTGCTTGTTGGGATATTTAACAAGTAAATAATCTGCGATGAGATGGGGGAGCGAGTGTTGCTGCTCTCATACACAAACTGATATAAATGATACCACAGAACTGCCAACGCTTTCAATGCAACCACAACTACGATAAGCGGAGATCGCAAACCTCTTCACCAGCGGAGTTGCATAACATAACATGTAGGCATAACATATACCTCAGTTACCGACTATGAGACCAAACTATGGCACAAGAAATTGCTTAGGTGGATTGATGGAGTGAAGTGACAAATAAATAAAAATTGTCACCCGCAATACAGTCAAGCCACATGTAGAACAAAAACAGGAACTAAAAGCAGCATTATATAGTACTACTGAGAGTGTCACTGTAGCTGCGAGCCTGTTATGTGGTCATTGTGTCATTTTAGCACTTGTATGTAGGACAGAAATCAGACTCTGTAAAGTGATATAAAGTACAAGTTTATGTAAAACCCAAACTATTTTTTAATACGTATATGTATTTTAAGTTCGTATTAGAGAACTGAATGGTTAAAACCCCCATCCAGATCTGTGTCCGAGATGCCACATGAAATATCTACAAAGTAAGGAGAATTGATTGAAACCGAGCCTTCCCTTATCCTTTGTGTAGGTGACAACTGTAAAATATTTTGTTATGCTCACTTTCTGCTTCAGTGCCAGTGGTCACCAGGACAAACAGAGAGGGCGGATCTCCCCACAGCAATAATGACTTGCCAAACATTCTAATCCTTACCCACCCTGTCCAAACTTTTTTGGCTATATTTAAACTTATTATAGAATCTGTAAAGCGCCACTCACACAGGCAAACGGAGCCATGCGTCTGTGCAGGGAGCTGAGTTAATGCACAAGGGGAGGCAAAGGTGTTCCCTGTTAAAACTAATAACATGCTGCAGCTGCTTGGATCCTCCCGCACATCCCAGTGTTTACATCAGTACAGGGATGGATGCATGGCTCTGTACAGATGTAAACATCGGGATGTGCATGAAGAAATATGCAGCCAAATTTTGACCTGCAGCTACATGATCGCCTGTGCCTCCTCAGGTGCTCTGACACGACCCCCTGCATGGATGTACTGATCCATGAATGAGGCCTAAAGAAAAGAAAAGTGACACAATGATAATGATACATTGGAATGACAGAGGTTTATAAAATACGTAATGCAGGTCACAGAGTGACCACCTTTCTGACTGATATAACAAAGGCCTCAGGCCTCATTCACACAGGAAGTGACATACGTTTATAGGGCATTTGTAAATGCATGCCAAGGATGTTAAATGGTGTAATTCACACTACATTTACCTGCGTTTTTTTAAATTCCATTGAGATAGAATTCTGTTTTGTCTGGGGGCAGATTAGATCATCTAAACGTGTCTAAACGCAAGGGAAAGTGATCTAGGAAGCATAAAGTTTGTTCATACTTCCCAAATCAGTTCTTCTGCGTTTAAAGGATAATTCCACTTTCACAGACGAATTTGGGAAAATGGAATTGCCCCCACCAATCTGCTCCCTCTCCCCAGTCCTACTGCTCTTATCTTTGCATGAATGCTGCTTCCTCTCCACGGCTCCCGATGCACGATCCGTATCGTTGCAGCCCTGTGCTAGGCATTTCAAATTATGTTTGCAAATGGTGAGAATGTATTAGGCAGCGCAGTCACCTGACCATGTTGAACAATGAGAAGCACTTCTTGCTAAGCGCTTCTCAGTCACCATTTGCGATTGTAATTTGAAATACATAGTGCAGGGCTGCGATGCGCTGTACAAGGGACAGATTGTACACCGGCAGCCGCGGAGGGGTAGCAGCATTCATACTAAGGTGGGAGGGGGTAATTCCATTTTCTCAAATCACTGGAAAAGTGGAATTACCCTTTAAAGAATACAAACACAGAAGGTCAGTGTGAACCACATTCACTGTTAGAATTTCACTCGTTCGAAAATGATTAATTTGACTCCATTAGCTATTAGAAAATAGAACAAACATTCTGAAAACATATTTTTTCCAAATTAAATTCTACTGATGTATGGAGTTAAAGTGACATTAAACTCAGGAGGTAAATCTTAAAAATACATTCAAGAACCTTAACTATTAATAAAAATGTATCTTATTTGTGTATCACTCGGCTGTAGATCCTCAAATCATCTCTGAATTGGTGCTGACACTGTCCTTCCTTCTGGAGGGGGGCTACTTTTTGTTCCCCATGGTCCCTCTGTGTGTTGTAAAGTAGTCACCGCTCCAAGCTCACGCCTGTGATGGACTACAATCTCAATACAAATTAGTATAGGAAATTTGAGATTGTAGTCCATCACAGGAATGAGCTTGGAGAGGTGACTACTTTACAACACACACAGGGACCATGGGGAACAAAAGTAGCCACCCTCCAGACGGAAGGACAGAGTCAGCACCAATTCAGAGATGATTTGAGGATCTACAGTCGAGTGATACACAAATAAGATACATTTTTGTTAATAGTTGAGGTTCTTGAATGTATTGTTAAGATTCAACTCCTGAGTTAAGTGTCACTTTAAGGATCCTTTCATGTCTGAACATAGAAGATGGAAACATGGTTATTAGTAGGACAACTAAATCTGAGGCATTGCTCCAAGAGAAAGTCCAGCATGAGGAAAGCCGGAGGCCACGGCCATTGTTTATTTGGAGAGGTAACCGGCTACATCTCCAACATGATCATACATGTACGCGTTTGATAGTTAAAAGGCTGAGATACTATCTGTCTGTCTGTAAAAGCAAGGATCAAGAAAAATGTGTTGGCAGCAGCACATCGCTGGTACTATAAACCAGGGCTGGACAAATCCAAGGAGCCATGTCGCCAGTGCTCCATAAAAATGACAGCCGGCGCCTAACTTTTGAGGTTTTCTCTAGTTGTTGTCAATGGAGCTGGCTCCTGGATTGGACAGACCAGCTCCTGAATTCCATATTCATCTGTCCACCTCTGATATAAGGTGCTTTGGGACCATTCGAATAATCTCACACAAATATCACATATTTTAGCGTATAGAAACATAAAAAGAACACTTGCGACATATAGGACGGAATACTTGATGGTAATAAGACCAATATGACCAATGACTAGAAATAAAAAACATATGCAGCATTCCACAATCATAATGCCATGGGGTCAGGGGTGTATGTACCTGTTCAATCGTATCCAAGTGTGGGCGATCGCATGGAACGGCATTCTGGGCACCACTGCAGACGCGCTTTGAAGGCCAAATAATTTTCTTGGCCTTCTTTTTTTTTAAAAGGTAGATCGCCAAGTGCTCCTTCAACACACCCCAATTGCTTGGCTTGGGATGGGCATGTAGAATGTGATGGTCGCAGTACATACATACATACGAGGGCCGATTTAGACAGGAGCCAATTGACCGATTAGCATAGCTTTGGAGTGTGGGAGGAAACCGGGGTACCCGGAGAGAAAATGCAAACTCCATGCAGAGAGTATTACAGGTGGCATTGGCACCAGTGACCCCAGTGCTGCTAACACGGATGTGGGAGTCACTATGGCACTGTGCAACCCCATAGGGTCATACGCATAATCGGAAGATAGTGTACAACTGATTGGGATGCAACATCCAGCCAAATAGCAACAATGTCAGGAACTATATTTCCATGAATAATCACATGCTGACAAAGTAACACTATGCTGACACTGTCACGTGTGCCCCCCTTATCCAGGCCCATCCCCTCCCCCCTGTATCAATGGAAGAGAGGTGCTCCAGCTCGGCTCACCTGGGGATGGTGATGCATTTGGTGCTGATGCTCTGGGTAGCCAGTGCTTTCTCCAGCTCGTCCAGCTGTCCAGTCTTCTTCAGCTTTTTCACCAGGCTTTTCACCGCCTTCTCACACCACTTCTCCTCCTGGCCATTCTGCTCACCTTTCTTCCAGCCCAGCAGCCGCTTTACAATTGGGGGAGTGAAGGGCAGAATGGAGGACATGGCAGCCACCACCTCCTCCCCCCCAAAACAAAGTTAACAGAGCAGAGAGAGTGGGAAGAAGGATGGATGGAGGGTGAGGAGGGGCTCCCTGTCACACAGACACACTAATCTCACACAGACTGGACCTGTCACTGAGCCTTGGAGTGCTGTCACTAGCTGCACTCCCTGTGTCACCCCTAGCACTGCACTCCCTGTGTCACCCCCCTCTCCCTGCAATCCCTGCGTCACCCCTACACTCCTAGTGCCCCCCCTTTCCCTGCAACCCCCCTTCTCTCCCTGTGTCCCCCCTCTTCCAGCACTCCCTATGTCACCTCAGCACTCTCTATTACCCCCCCTCTTGCAGAACTCCTTGTGTCACCCCAGCACTGCCAGTGTCCCCCCCCCCTTTTCCAGCACCCCTTGTGGCACCCCAGCACTGCCAGTGTCCCCCCTCTTCCAGCACTCCCGGTGTCTCCGGTTCCCCTCACTTTCTCCCCTTCTCGCCCTCTTCTAACTTTTCATCCTCACTCAGCCTCAGCCGCGTCACCTCCCCTCCCTATGCTGGTGTTCCTCCGCCCATGACATCGGCCACTCCCACCTTGTCCCGTAGACACCCCGTGTAGCCCCGCCCCCTCCCGGTGACGCCCCTCTTCCCTGCACATCATAGGCCAGGGGCTACGGGATGTTTAAAGGGCGGGGCTGACGATGATTGACAAGGCGCGGCGGATTGATCCGCCCGGTGACGCGGCTCTGTGGTCACTTTCCTGTGCGTGGGTGGAAACGTGTGGTGTGTGTGTGGTTGGCCCGGCGTGTTCTCTTCGCAGACTTTCTTCGCTGATGAGTGTAGAGCAGAAATGAGGGAGAGCGGCGATGTGTCAGGCTTTCCTTATCATAGTGAATGATATAAAGAGACACTTCACCCTCAACAAGGGGAAAAAATCACTTTTATAAAAGAGAATTCCTCTCTGGGAGCGTCTCAGGAACAAGTGCCCCATTGGAGGATATACCCTCACCTGTTGCTATGGTGGCAACTCTAAGCCCGCATGCACACCATGGTGTTATTGAAACATGTGTCATGTTCGTGTGCTGCGTTTGCCGAGCATTCCCATTGAATTTAATGGGGCCCTGAGTTATTTTAGGGCTGCGCGTGCTCTTCCCCAGGGCTGCGCGTGCTCTCCGGTGGACTGTGCGGCCCCACAGGTGGGCTGTGCACACTCTCAGATGGACTCTGAGGGCTCTCAGGTGGGTTGTGCACAATCTCAGACGGACTCTGAGGGCTCTCAGGTGGTCTATGTGGACTCTCGGGTGTAAAAGGTGGACTAACCCTTTAAGCAGTTAGAAATTAATTTGTCAGGAGGACATAAAAACATGGCCGCCGATAGGGGAGTACAGCCAGCCCTCCCGTACAAGGACCGAGCCCCTATAAGGAAAGCAGGGGCTGACCACACAGCTTCTCCAAACGAGAGCTCCCTGCGACACCTCTGCAGCTTGTCAAGTACAAATAATCTGGGGGACTGTACAGCCTGCCAGGAGGGCTGAAGGGGGCCCTATGATTCCTAATGGTGGCCCGGTATAAAAATATTGGGGGGAATTCAGTAAAGCATTTGTGACACTTTTCTGTCGTTATAGCCGTATTAGAAAGTCCTGCGTGGAGGGTTATAACCCCTGTCAGCTTTTTTTGCCATCTGTGTAGGGAGATTTCCCTTCCTGTTTGATACCCACAGGATGTGAGAGAAAGTCCTTCCAAAGTGAGGGAAATCTTTGGTGGGACCAAAACTAGTGCTCCCATTGGAAGATTTCACATCTTTTGCTGTTCTGGAGACAACCCATAAAACGGTCACCAGACAAACGGGGACACAGACAGCAAGAAAAAAAAACTGACAGGAGTTCTAATCCCTCTCCACTATATCCAAAAAAAAAAGTGTTGGCTTCATTAGCACTTTAAAGAAGAACTCCGGAAATTTTAAAAACTTTGCCTTGCAGTGGGGCAACCCCTGCTCTTCAAGGGTTAAGTGCTCGTTTTGTCTAGGGGGGCTCAAATAAAGCAGATGTACTCACCTGATCCTCGGTCCACCAGGAGTTGGCACTCGCCTCTCTCCATCTTCGCTCTGGCTGTGAAATATTCCTTGGCATCCTCACATCTAATGCAAGTCAATGGACCTGCATAAGACGTGATGATGTCAGCGGTCCGGCCACTGGAGCCCAGGGAGAAGAGGCTGCAGGGACGGGTCTCCCAGCCAGGTGGAAACGAGGCTCAGGTGAGTAGATCTGCTTAATTTGAGCCCCCTAAACAAAATGAGCACCCACTGCAAGGGTACGTTTTTTCAATTCCCGGGCGTTCTTCTTGAAGTATTTGCCAAGAGTTGAGTTGTAGCCTATACAAGCTGTTGTGTGGTACTGTAATTAGAAACTATAATAAAACATGTTCTATGTCAGCGTTTCCCAACATATATTCAGTCACGGCATCCTTTAAAAGTATGCAAAATCTCGAGGCACCCAGGTAAATGTGAAATGTATGTGTTGTCTGTCCAAACTCCACAACAGATCCTTATTTAAGATAGAAGGTCCGGTATGGATTTATGTTAGGAGCCTCCTTCACATGAGAGCCCCCCTTTACATCAGGAGTCCCCCTATCACACTAGGAGCCCCTTTTCATATCACAAACGTCCTCTTTCACATCAGGAACTCCCTCTTCACATCAGAGGCATAGACATATGTGAATGTTTCGAGGCACCCTGGAGGAGGCCAGAAGGCACCTCAGGTTGCCACGGCACCCTGGTTGAGAAAGGCTGTTCTGGGACAGGGCTCTTAAAAGCAGTGTAATTGGTAAGGTCTCGGGGCCCCCCTGTGCAATTGGTACCTTCCTGAGTACGTGCAGGAAGATTTGGGGGGGTTTCAGGGGGTGGAGCTTTTTTTTTTTACCCGACAAGAGAGAGACACCGACTGACGTTGGGGAGGGGGGGAGAGACACCGACGCTGGGGGGGGAAACACCCGGAGTCACGTAAAAAAAATTCTCGGGTGAAAAGGGGTCACGAGTGGAAAAAGTTTAAGAGGGCCTGTTCTAGGACACTTCATTTAATATGTTACACACACGGAGATTACATTGTAACTAAATAAATAATGCAGCTATGTTGGTTACACTAGGTGTGTACTGCTGTAGAAAATGCAGCCATGTTGGTTAACACAGATGTAAAGCGCCTTTTTGACATCCCCCTAGAGGAGGAATTTCACAGCTGATACCGCATAGTGCTCAGCAATGTTACCAGCATCAAACCCAATAAAGATAATACATATGGCCTCACTTACTACAGGGTGATAGAGGAATATGGCTGGAATATCTAAAGTGTCAAGTAGGTGAAAATCTCTCCACTTCTGACTTACAGATAACGCCGCATCTGACTGGTGAAGTTTACCAAAGACTCATTTTCAGAGATGCACATCCATAGTTATCAGAGCTGCATATCAGGGTGTTTGCACTTTGATGCTTTGTAGAAATTCGGGCGAAATCTCTGAGATTTGGATGTCACAGGCCTCATCTTCTGCCCCACAGGCCCATCTTCTTCTGCCACAGGCTTTATCTTCTGCCACAGGCCCATCTTCTTCTGCCACAGGCTTTATCTTCTGCCACAGGCCCATCTTCTTCTGCCACAGGCTTTATCTTCTGCCACAGGCCCATCTTCTTCTGCCACAGGCTTTATCTTCTGCCACAGGCCCATCTTCTTCTGCCACAGGCTTTATCTTCTGCCACAGGCCCATCTTCTTCTGCCACAGGCTTTATCTTCTGCCACAGGCCCATCTTCTTCTGCCACAGGCTTTATCTTCTGCCACAGGCCCATCTTCTTCTGCCACAGGCTTTATCTTCTGCCACAGGCCCATCTTCTTCTGCCACAGGCTTTATCTTCTGCCACAGGCCCATCTTCTTCTGCCACAGGCTTTATCTTCTGCCACAGGCCCATCTTCTTCTGCCACAGGCTTTATCTTCTGCCACAGGCCCATCTTCTTCTGCCACAGGCTTTATCTTCTGCCACAGGCCCATCTTCTTCTGCCACAGGCTTTATCTTCTGCCACAGGCCCATCTTCTTCTGCCACAGGCTTTATCTTCTGCCACAGGCCCATCTTCTTCTGCCACAGGCTTTATCTTCTGCCACAGGCCCATCTTCTTCTGCCACAGGCTTTATCTTCTGCCACAGGCCCATCTTCTTCTGCCACAGGCTTTATCTTCTGCCACAGGCCCATCTTCTTCTGCCACAGGCTTTATCTTCTGCCACAGGCCCATCTTCTTCTGCCACAGGCTTTATCTTCTGCCACAGGCCCATCTTCTTCTGCCACAGGCTTTATCTTCTGCCACAGGCCCATCTTCTTCTGCCACAGGCTTTATCTTCTGCCACAGGCCCATCTTCTTCAGCCACAGGCCTCATCTTCTGCCACAGGCCCATCTTCTGCCACGCCGCGCATTCGTGATGACTTCCTAGCTGGGTGTCTCCCGGCAGCCGCTCCGGGTAACACCATGGCTGGGGACGCCCCTGGTCGCTAGATGATCTGAGGACAATTGTTGTATTTCTCGCCTGGTCTGATGGTTGAGGTGACTGATTCCTACTCATATTCTATACAATTTGTTCTTTAGGATTCCATAGATATTTATTTATAAACGTCAGAGTCATGATCTCACTTACCATGCATTTGTAATGCCGTGGTACTATTGTGCACTAACATTGTCTTCTACTAGAGAGCAATGGTTCTATTGAAGGACACCTCTAGCTTGAGAAATATGTTCTCTGCAATAGCTGACCTTCGGAAAATGCTAGGAGCCTGGCTGTCTCTAGCTTTAACCAGTTGACATCCGCGGTGTTAAACCCCCTTCCCATCCAGGCACTTGAAATTTGAACATATGTGCAATTGTTCCGGATCAGTAACTCAGAAATCATTGTAGCCAGAGAATCAGCATTATAGCCATTGCCATGTCTGAAAATCAGCAATGACAGTCTCCATAATTCTCTTATTAACATTTTCCCAGCACCGCATCAAACAATCAAACTGACACGGAACCAGACAGTAATATGGTCATTTAATATGATTGTGTTCTGTCTGTTTTCCAGAAGATGAAATCTTACAGTAATGTTATCTACGCCATGACAATTCTGTATAATATTACTATTG